TGGTAAATACTCTGCCCAAAATACTTTCTGTAGTTTCAGTGGAAGAACTTACCCTATATTTTTTCCTTGAAAACTTCCTTGCTGTTGGTACACTGAGGCTTTCTCTCAGGGCTGTTACACTAAGCTGCCTTGCAGTTTTACTTCTCTTTATGTTGGTTCTGAACACAGTATGCGTTTACAAAAATTGCATTACTCTTTGATCTAGAATGAACTTTAGTTAACAATTCCCAGTATAAAACCAATTACAAAATGCTGTGTTAGGCAAGGAATATGTTCTGCTTTTCTATTTTGCCTGTATTTTATCATGGTTGTCCTTAAAATCTGTGTATATGCTCTTAATACATCCTTTCAGTTCCCCATAATATCACTGAAGCTTTAACAGAGAACAATTGTATAGTTGCAGGACACGTAATAGGCTACTAGAAGAAATATTTACATCTGGCATGATCAAAGCTTTTGGAGTATATGAATGTGTGTGTGGGAGGTCTAATTTTTAAGTGGGTGGATTCACAAAGACTGAAACACTTGCAGTACTTAACCCTTTTCCCTTTATGAAAATTCAATTCCTAGAAAAAAAAGCACGTAGTACCTGATCCTTATCTTTATTTTTCATTTCAATGAGTAGAATTAATTCTTCTGCTTGTAACTACTTGTTTTAAGTCATAGAGAATTTTTTGTATTTTAGCCCCTGTAGTTGCCTATTTAGTAAGATGCTTATCTCGCTTGTGATGTTTTTACACATTGGATCATATGCATGTTTCAAAATTTTAAAAAATTATATTTTTAACACAGTTTTGATAGTCTATAGGACTGTTGTGAAAGGAGCTCTACTGTATTTTCAGTGTTCAGCAATAGAGATGTCTCCAGGTTCGATTTCTGCTGGTTTAGCTCCTGTGTCAATAATCAGCTGTGAACCGCTTCTGTAAATCTGTCATTTGACATTTTTTTTATTCAGTTACTTTAAATAGTTAGTTATATTATGAAAGTCTATTAATACTCAGTTATTTAAATAATCTCTGTTAGCATTTTGTTTGCAAGGCCCTGATGGGGAAGTTTGGGATGAGAGCTGACCTGGGCTAACAGCTTGCTGAACGGGGAGGTCTCGCTCTCCCTTTGGCTTCTTTCCTTCCCCGTGCTGTCCTGTGATCTTCCCTCCCCCAGCTATACCAATTCTGACTACAGGGCAACCAGCTCAGCTTACCAGCCAAGCAGGAGAACCCACACGCCAAGTTGTGTGCCAAATGCCTATTCGGCTGTTCTGAGCTTTAATTTACCCGGTGATCAGCAGAGTGCCTGAGCTGGCTACCAGGTAAGCAGCAGGGGCCCATGGCCTGAGGAAGCTGCGGTGAATGGAGAGCCACCTGCCCTTTTTGCCCCTGGTGAACTTCCATTTTGCTCAGACTACTCTCTGAAGTCATACCATGAGTCACGAACACAGCATCGTGTGTAATATGTGGTTTCTTGAAAATCAGCCTTGCTTTTGCAAGCCAGTGATGATGTGAGGAGCAGTTCTTGTAAGCAGTTAAAACATCAGTGAAGACACATTTATTTTTAGAAGAGACACACCTTTTGGGGTATCTTAAAAGATTTTGTATTTGGTTACAACATCCGTGGCTGTTACTTTTAGAGCTAGGGGTCATCAAAGCAATAGAACATTTTCCCCTGTGAAAGCGTTTTTTACCTCTTAAATCCTGGGTATATATATACATAACTTCGCTTGCTGTTATTCATTTGTATTACTTCAGCACTCCAAGATATGCTGCATCTCTTTTGTTGTCCTTGTGGCATTGGTAGTCCACAATCTAATCTTGAACTATTCTAGCATCAAACTTGAGTGAACTGGTTTGTCAGTATGTTCTGTAAGTAACAGCAGCTAAGAAAGCAATTCAGAAACTCTGGAGCCATTCCTGACACTCTGCAGTAGTGGGATGGGATGGGCAGGTGCAAGTGAAAATTCTTCATCTGCCAGACTTGGATCTGTTGTTGAGTCTGTGTCAACACCTGAAGTACCAGGACACTGCTATGCTGCCTTCTGTAGCACAAAGCCAAGGGTATGCAGGCTCTTACCCAATTTTCTGAACCCTAAGTTTTAGCATTATCAAAGTGATGTTGCTTTGTTTTTTTCTGTTCTCAGTGTCAGAACTGACACATGAAGTTTGGTTGATCAGTTAAATGGTGTCTGCAGTTCACAGAAGGGTGGTTGGCATCTTTTGGGTCAGTGCTGTGTTCAGTCTTCATGTTTTTACTGTGTGCTATGCTGCCTTTACATGTTTTTCCTGTATTTTTTCTCTTTTTTTCTTTGAAGAACGAAACCAACAACAGCAGCAAAAAAAAAACAGACTTGCCATTTCCTCTGTTGCAACTTGCAGGATTCTCTACAAGACTGCCATAATCTGTGACCACAAAACTGCCTTTTCCTCTGTGTCATGCTGTTGAAAAACTGCTAGCAAGCAAGTTCAGTCTGAGCAGGACCTCAGCATTACTTATTTTGCTACCTCTTGGTAGTTTTCAGCATGTTCATGTAATAACAGAATTAGAGGCCCAAGTCTATTTCTTGGTGCATTTCTCAGTAGTCCAGCATTCTCATTCACAAAGAGAGCATCACTGTATTTATACTTAAGGAGTCTAAATCTTAAAAAGGAAGAGAAGGCCTCCAGAAAATAGCAGTTGTATCTATAATCGGTCCTCCAAAGCAACAGCAAACTCAGTAGTGGGAAATACCATTTTTGGCTGTTAGCTCCCAGCATCCCTGAATTTGCTAAATATTCAAATATAAATAAAGTGACACAAGCAAGAGATCTTATATAAACACTGACAATTGTAGGCATTCATCCATAAAATTCTGAAGGATCATCAGAACTCAAAAGAGCTGGGTTTAAAGTGTTGCATTTTGTAAGCGTTCATAACCAAGATGTTTGTTTCAGGCTCAGAACACCAGACTCCATTTTAATCTCTGTTCTTCCAGCTCTGAGGATGGCTAGTATTTCTGATGTCCCTACTGCACTTGAATGAAACTGTTTTCTACCTGAGCCTAAGCAAATCAAAACAGAGAGGACAACCATCGTGCCCATTCTTTAGAGTATCAGACTGGTACCAAATGGGGCACAGCAGTAGAGAAAGCAAGGGTTTTTAAAAAAAAAAACCACAAAAAACCAAAAGAAAACAAACAAACAAACCCAAAGAAATTCCTGGAAGGAAATGTCAGCAAAAATAATACCTAAAAAAATCCATTGCCTGTAATAACTGTTGCATTGCACCATTGCAAGCTCTCCCTCACAGACAAGGCTCAGGGATATCCTGATACGGTGATAACTCCTGACATGAAGAAAGCAGATTTGAACATTTGATTTTACTGTCCAGCAGAGACAAACTGTATATGTAACATTATTAGTGTCATGAAGAGATTGACTGCCTGCCTTCCTGTTGCTTGTTCAAGGAGATTTCCATTTACCCTCATCTAACTCCAGGATAAAGAAGGGACCATCTGTTCTTTCCCCTTCATTCCCTTCCGTATTATGGTCCTTTGTCCTCATGGTCTCAAATACTAATTCATCCTCCCCAATGTCCTCGGTACATTGCCTGGTCTGTCAAATAACACATACCCATCTTTTCCATCGGTCTGTTTTGCCCTTAGATGTTTCCTGCATTTCCATATTCGTTGGCATGTGTGTTTGCCGAATCCTGGTGTTTTACTGTGAGTTTCTTGTCTGTGCCAGCGTAGTCCGGGAAACCTGCAGCTGGCCTGAGGCCTCGGGACAGGTTACAGAACAGAGGTCTGTGCTGCAGCTCTGAAAGTGGGTTGTGAGGGATAGGTCTCAGCTGCACTGTTGTGCCTCTTTTATGTCAGTAGTTGTTTTGCTTCATGAGAAGTGCTTAAGTACAGACAGACACAAAAAGTAAGGTCTGCTTTCCATGTCTATATGGATTTTTACCAAATAGTTCTGACTCTGCTGTCTTAACTGCTTGCAAATTACATCCTTCAAGAATGGCATGTCCTTATGATACCATTATTTAGAAGACAGACCATTCAGGGAACATTTTTTCATTTGCTGGTGACTATGGACAAGGATGAATTTTGCCCAAATCCTTTTTACAGTAATGGGGATTTTACAGGGACTTGTTCATTAGCTCTTCCTCTTCCAGTGCTCTTCCCTCATCCCCTTAAAAAAAAAAAAAAAAAAAGCATTAATGTTACGAGTGGTGAAACTCCTACCTGTGAACACAGTTGTTGGAGTTCTCCTGCAAATGAGACTTCTGGCATTTTTATATCCTCTATTATTGAGGGCAGCCTTAGGACCCACACAGTCAAAACAGCATCTGCCCAAATGAGAGCAGTGAGGAAGTTTAAGGAAGAAATACACTGTGGATGATGGCTTTGTGTACAGTTCTGGCATGGTGCCAAAAATGGTATAACTCTAGCTCTGTGATGATATTGTAAACAGTGTCTGCCTTTCCCTTCTCAAACGTCTTTTCTAAGCCTGCTTTGTTCCTCATCTCTCTTACATGTGTGCGTATGTATGTCTGTCTTATATATAAAGAGATTGCACACCAAATAATTATTCATTTTATATCCCAACCCTTTAAAAACATATCATGTGTTGTAGGTTTTGAGTTCCAGTGAAAATATCAAATCAGATCTAAGGCATAGCTGTAGTTTTGTAAAAATAGTCACCATGTAATAGGATCAGGACTGTCTCTTGAGACATTTGTAACAGACATATTTTATATTTAAACCCAAATTAATAAATGTCACTACATGGGGAGGAAAAAAATGAAGCATCAGCATTTTCAATTGCTTCATGTATTATTTTGGAATTGAGGGAAGGCCCCAAGTGGCACAGAAGTAAACATTCATCTAACTTATTTGCTGTATAATTCGTCATTCCACATGTGTTTGTATAAATTCAGCATCTGTTTTCAAGAAATCATTTTTGTGCTGATTTTATTTGAAAATGTTTGTGGTCTTGCTCTGTATTCTTACACATATTTTCTTTAAACAGAGTTTGCACTTAGGATAGTGAATGCTCCAATGGCTTTAGATTTAGCATTTGGCATACTGTGTGAGCTGCTCCAGCGGTGGGGGGAGATCCATGCTGGTGTGCTGATCCTGCTGGAATGGCTGCTGGGAGACAGCGACCTGAAAAGAGATTCGGAGACTTCAGCCCTGGTAATTTTAACAACCAGTTGCTATATCATGTTGGAAGCACTGCATTTCTGCAGTCTTGTGGTAGGAATGGAATGTAACATCTCATTTGGTGAAGCCTGATGATCACTACTGCAGTATTAACTGATTTACAGTTTTAAAAAAAATGCACATGGATAATATTTAGAATAAAAATAGAGTTTGATACCTGTTTCCTGGCAATATCAGCATAAAATTAAAGAGATCAATAAGCAAACATTGAAATAAACCAAGAGTTACTTCACAAGTCATTGTCGACTGAAATATTTTGAGGCTGAAATGTATTATTGCAGATGATGGCTTGCCTTGAATTTATTCTGCTGCTGTGGGTGCCAGGCACATCTGGTGTTCAAGAAAAGTGCTCTCCCAACTGCTGGCTTTTCCAGAGTTGGCATTTAAATATTTGGTAACTTTATGCCATCTTACCTATGATTGGTTCTGCACAGCACATGAAACAGCCTTGCTTACATCAGTTACTGTCTTCAGAAGGATTATTTCTGTAAAGAAGAACTTCGCCACGCTGGTTCTGTAAAGCGTAATACTACATAATACGCTGTGCTCTTTTTGTCTTGAAAAGACTGTAAAAGTCAAAATAATGCTGGAAGGTAAACCGGAAGGAGCAGGACCAGCTACATCTTTGAGAAGTTTCTTGACAATTAATATGACCCATGAAATATATTATGGACCTTTTCTTAAGCCTGTGGTTTAGGTATGCCTTTCTAAGTTTCACTGACTGATACAATTTTCCTTTTTCATTTAATCCACTCAAAAAGCACCATGATATAGCAAATTACCATACTGGTTACAGAGAGGTCTCTGTGAAATATAAGACTGTTTCAAGCACATGTTAAGGATTAGGACTACTATTTACTTCCACTGTTTCCCAAGACTTGTACCATAACTGCCTGATTTTTGAAGGTAAAATTTCTTTGACAAAGTAGTTCCCAAACCTTTAAAAAATGCATGTGAATTTTTACCTTCTTTTTATATAAAGAAGCGGTTCTGTGACACCTGTTTCTGTATATATCCTCTTTTGTATCTTTTATGATTTTCTCATTATTATGAAACCACAAGTCATTTCCTAATCACTGTTGGTTTTCTTTTTGTTAAGGAAGAAGATGATTATCTGTTTGATAAAGGAGAAGTGAATTTTTGGGCAGAGAAGTTGACTCATGTTAGACAACTGAGTAAGCACCTTTTACAGCTCATATCGATGACTCATCTAACGTTACCGCATCACGGAGAACTGAAGCGACTATCAATAACAGCACTGGACCAAGCCCAGCTCGTTGAACACCACCTTCAAGCACTGCCTCCAGCTCCAGAATTTTCCAAAACTGCAGAATTCACAAGATTAGCTATTCAAAATGAGAGAATATTGCTCTGTCTTAAAATACTGAATCTGCTGAAGTCTGATGATACTTGCAAAAATGAAGATCTGGAAAAGTATGTTACTAAAAGTTCATCCTCAGGGAACATGGACACATTCTCTCAGGGAGACTGAATTCCAGCGATGTTCAAGGAATCAGGATGACTCCAGTAAATCTGCAACAAACTGTTCAGTATTCAGGCTAAAACTACATTTTTATATATTAGTCCATGGATTCATTTTTTTTTTACCAGATGTGCTGTGGGAGACCGTTCCTTTTAAATGCATTTGCTAATTTCATTCAGCTGAGCATTGTTTATTACAACCACTGTAGGAAGTAAAGCAGGTAAACCTAATATTTTCCATGCATCCAGGTGCAGGCCACCTGTAGTTCTGTTACATTTTATCCCATATTTTACCTCCTGTATCTTAGTACCAAGAAAAAGTGTATTATTTTGGTCTCCTTACAGAATTTAGCATGTTAATTATTAAATTAATATGCTATTTTTATTTTTAAGTGTTTCAAAAAGAAAAGGAACAAACTGTGACTTTTTTGTTCATGGCAATTTTTAGAGTATATTTCAAATTTTACTGTATTTTCCTCTGGAGGAAGGCAAGGATTTTCACTTTGGTAGTAACCTTGTTTCACACATGGAAACAGCATTAGTTAGACTTCTGCATGCCTCTTTTTTCCTTTAAATCAAATAATTACATTCATAAAATGGCTCTAAAATGAAGACTACTGTGTTCAAAACAAAGCAGCTGTTCCATTGCAAACAAAACAGTTTCATCTTTACTTCAAAACCCCTTGTTCTGCAAGCAGGCCTGGAAAGGAAAGTCCTGCTGAGTAGTGTGAGGCCCCTCTGAAGCTACCAGAGGTGTTTCTGTGCTCCAGCCCTTGCTTTTGAGAGATGCTCTCACCGGCACTCAGGTGGGGTGGCTTTGGGGACTGTTCTGAGCGCTTCATGGTGATGCTGTGTCTGAAACACAAACATGCTTGTTGTGTGTTGAAATGTATTTTTCTGGGAACTGAAACTGGGTTTCAGTATGAAAAACGAGACATCGAAAATAAATATTGATCTGAAAAGGTTGCGTTACCTTCCTGTAGCCAAGGGCTGTGACTGGCTGTAGCACGGCCAGGCCCCCCAAAATATGGATATGCGTCCCTGTACGCCGTCATTTTGGTCTCCTAGGACGAAGAACATGTCCAGTGAACGACTGTTTCCTTTCAGCCTCCTCACCTAATTGTGTGTGAGCAGAGTTTGGCCGTAAATGTCGATCACACGCAGGTAAGGGGTGAGTGTTGCGGCTCAAGGCCCGCAGGTGGCGCCGCGGCACCGCCGTACGCGGGATGGGCCCGTTCCCTGAGAGCCGGGCCGGGCTCAGCCGGGGCAGGGTCGGGTTCCCTTAGTGCCGGCGTCGGGCTTAGCCCGGGTAGGCTCAGGCTTGGGCCGGCGCCGCTCGCAGTGGCTGCGTGCTGCGGTGCCCGATAGCCGATTGGTGCCCTCTCCTTGAGTTTAAATGGAATCTGCTGTAAATCGAGCTAAGCTGCTGACTTGGATCTAATGGACACCTGAACACTGCACAAAACAAAGTCGCTACTGAAAAAAAGATAACAAGAAGTGGCTGTAAGTTTTCAGGATTTGGGGTTACTTATATAAGTAATTGATGATGAAACTTGAGGCTTCAGTAGGCAAAAGGGAAATGTTGGAATCTGAAATGATGTTTCTCAGAATGCCCACTACCCAGCTTAGTGAGCCACGGTGCAAGTTAGGCTAAAAATGAATTTGTTTGCATCTGGTTTGAGCTCCTGGGGAAGGAACAGCCCAGATTATGTCTGGAAGCCACTCTTAAAAAAATAGGCAAGACCTGTACAATTAATCAACAGCTAGCTGCTGGTTTTGCCACATCTTTCCATAATTTCCGAACTAGTGTGGCAACAGCTTTTAATAGTAAGAGACAAAACCAACTTTGTATGTATCAGTTGTGTAACCTCACTCATGTCAGTGGGTAGCACAAGACTATCTAGTAACATTGGCTTTTTAATTTTTTTTAACGGGGTAGAATTAAAAATGCATATACATATGTATTTAATACTGGCAAATGAGTAAATGCAGAGAGGTAACAGCATAGTAGTAGACCCAAAGTGACCATAAAACTTAATTTGGTGAAGCCTTGAGGACTTGGTTAATCAGTAACCAAACAGCTCAAAAACTCGGTCTTCCTTATCGTGGTGTTAAGATGCAACTGGAACCTCTGTCATCCCGGCTCCATTTATAGAGAGCAAATAAGAATTATATTAGCGCACATACATTTCACCACACGGTGCTAGTGGCTTGCGTTACTGTGTAACTACTCAATGAAGAACCTTTAAACCCTGTGCAGCGATTGCAGGAGAGGGTTAGCAAAGCGTGATGCCAGAGCGCTTATCGGTCGTGTATTTGATCAAAGTTAGTTTATCAAAGTATTCCTCCCAATGGCGATGACACATTGATCCGTGCATGACTGTCATCGTAAACGGTACTTTCGGTTGGCTGGCGGGCAGGATCTGCTCCGAGGTGATGTTTCCCTGGCAGAGACGTGTGGGAGGGTCAGTGCGCAGGCAACTCCGACCGGCCCAGGAGGAGGTTATGGGAAGGGATGCACGTTATCCCGCCCGTCCGCGGCATTCCTGCGCCCCGGAGGCTCCCCGAGTGCGGGGCAGGGCCTGTTGCCGGGTCGGGAGCCGTCGCCCCCCGGCAGAACGGGAGGAGGGGAAGAGGCAGGAACGTGGGATCTCTCCCGGCACTGTTGGGCGGAGGAGCCGCTGCCGGCGGGCCCGGCGGCCGCGAGGGGGCACCATGAGCCCGTCAGCCGCGCGGGCAGCGGGAGGGGCCGGGAACGGGGGAGCAAGGCCGGGAATGGGGCCGGGAGCGGGGCCAGCCGAGCCGCGTCCAGCAGCAACACCCGCCGAGGGAGGGAAGGGCCCCAGCAAACGGCTAGGACACGGGAAGGAGCGAGGTTTGGGCTTTCCGCCCCCCCCCCAGCTCCTCGTCTTTCCCCGGGGGATTTTCGATCTCCGTGGCCGGGCCCGTCCCGCCGTGGGTGACGGCTCGCGGGCAGCGCCCGTCCGGGCGGCCAGGAGGGCGCCCGACGGGGGCCGCCTGCAGCCCCCCCTCAGCAGCCGCGTGGGAGGAGGAGGAGGAGGAGGAGGGGAGGAAGCAAACGGGCGCGGGAGCCGCGTGGCGGAGGGAGTTGAGTCTGAAACCCCGCAGCGAGGGGTTCTGATGACCCCCCCTCTCCCCACCCCGCCGAAGTTTCTTTGCTTTGCAAATGTGTTTTCACAGCGCCGCGCTCTTGCTGACGTGGTCAGGTTTGCACGCTTGGATCTCGCGGGCCTGACATTCCTGCTCGGAAGCTAAAGACGATCAAACACTTCTGCTGGCTTCAGCAGCCATAAAACTTTACACGTTTGCCCGTCTGTGTTCTCTTTCCCATTTGTCCCGGGGCCGAACAAACGCGGGAGGGGACGGGGTGGGGGGTGCAGAGGAGCCGCCGCCGCCTTTCACAAAGTCATGTTTGCGCGGCCTTATCGGCGCGGGGGGGGCGGGGGTGTTTTGCACGGCGGCTCCCGGCCCGCCTTGGACGGCGGCCGGGCCCGTCCCGGGAGAGAGCCCCGTCACAGGAGGGAGCCCCGGCCGCTGCCTCCGCCCGCGGAGGGCACCGGGGGCGGCGGGGGGGAGGTGCGGCGGGTCACAGGACCTCGGCGGGGGGTGAGAAGTGAAGGGGGCAAGCGTGGGAGGGAGACGGGGGAGGGGTGCAAGGCGCGGGAGGAGAGAGATGCATAGAGGGGTTGGGTGGGGGTCGTGTATCAGCTCGGGCGGTGGCGGCGTTACCGCTGCCTCGAATCCGCGCCCGCCAGCCAACTTCTGGACTCCAAACAGAAAGGAAAACAAAAAATAAGCACCAAACACGAGCTCCCCGAAGAGAAGGGAGAAGCGGCGGGGCGGGCCGCCCTTGCCCAGCCCCGTCCCGCCAGCCGCATCGGGGCAGCGCGGACCCGACCTTTGTTTCAAACCAATTACGTGGCATAAGTTAGTTCTCGGCGGGGCTGGGGGAAGAAGTGTCCCCGGCGCTGCCGCGCCCCTCCCGCGGCACCGCGCACCCTCCGCTCCGCGGCAGCCGCGGCCGCCGAGCGCGGGCGGCTCCCGGACCGCTGGCGGGGGTGGCAGCAACGCGAGGGCGCCGGGTCTTTGGAGAGGGACGCGAAGAGGGGCGCTGCGCGGGGGCCAAGCCCGCAGGGCACGGTGAGCGCTGCCTCGGCTGTTTCCCCGCTGTTTCCGCCCCGTCCTACCCGGGCTGCCGCCACAGCAGGCACACCTGGCTCGGGGTACCCGGGGCTGACTGCGAGGCACTCCCTATCCACCAACCTGCTCGGCCACCGCTGCCGGCGCCCTCTGCCAAACTCAGGGCGGCCCGGCCGGCGGGCTGGGGCGGGGCGGGCCCAGCGGGCGGCGCGGGGCGGGCGGAGCGGGGCACCGCCCCCGCGGGCCGCGGGCAGCCGCGTTTATATGGGGGCGGCGCGGGGCGCCGCGGAGTTCCCGCAGTTCGCCCGCTGCTGTGCAGCCGCCGTCGCCGCCTCGGCCCGGCACCCGCCGTCCCGCCGGGAAGGAGTCGGGACCGTTTCGGATCTCAAGCAGACGGTCCCCTCCTATCTAGTCGTGGCTTTTCCAAACCCTCCGAGGACAGCGGGATCATTCGGTCCTTCCTGTATTTCCGACCATTACAGGATCTAGAAATGTCGACGACACTTTTATCTGCCTTCTACGACATTGACTTCTTGTGCAAGGTAGGGAAGAGCGCGCTTACCCGGGCGGGATCTGGGCTGGCAATGCCGCGGGGTGCGGGGCGACTCTCCGGGCTGCTGGGGCTGGGGCACCGCGGCGGGGCGGGAGGCCGGGCCGGGCTGGGCCGTGCGGGCGGGTCGCGGTCTGACAGCCGGCCGGGGGCCTGGCGCAAGGCTGCGAGCCCCGGAATGCCGCCTCGTGGCCTCCCGGTGGCCGCGTTCGGGGCGGGCTGATCTGCAGCCGCGGGGGTGCGGGGCCGCCCCGCAGCTCCTGCCCGCGTGTTGCGCTGCCGGGACAAACTTTTGAAAAAAGTTGCAGATGCAGCAGAGCCGGTGCAGGAGCTTCTCCCCGGCCCTGCCCTGCCCTGCAGGCGCTGGCAGCGGACGCGCTTTGCGGGCCGGTCGGGTGGCGCGACCCCCGCCCCGACTGCCGCGGCGCGCCTGGGGCGGCGTGGGGAGCCGCGGCGGTGGGCAGGCGGTCACCCGCAACACTCTCTCTCTCCCGCTGTCTCCCCCACCCCCTTCCCTCTCCCCGCCCCGGCAGACGGAGAAGTCCCTGACCAACCTAAGCAGCATGCTGGATAAGAAAGCCGTGGGGACCCCGGTGACCCCTCCCAGCTCCAGCTTCGCGCCGGGCTTCCTACGGCGGCACTCGACCAGCAACCTGACGGCGCTGGCCGGCGGCTCCAAGTTCCCCAGCCCCACCGGCTCCAGCTCTTCCTCCACCTCCTCCTCTTCTTCCTCCTCCTCCTCTTCGTTCGGCAGCCTGAAGGAGACGGGCTCCGGCGGAGGCGGCGGCGGCGGCAGCAGCAGCCCCACGGCCCTGCTCAACAAGGAGAACAAGTTCCGGGACCGCTCCTTCAGCGAGAACGGCGAGCGCAGCCAGCACCTCATGCAGCAGCTCCAGCAGCAGCAGCAGGCGGCCGGCAAAGGGGGCGGCTCCGGCGGCGGCGGGGCCCCCATCAACTCGACGCGCTACAAGACGGAGCTGTGCCGCCCCTTCGAGGAGAGCGGCGCCTGCAAGTACGGCGAGAAGTGCCAGTTCGCCCACGGCTTCCACGAGCTGCGCAGCCTCACCCGCCACCCCAAGTATAAGACCGAGCTCTGCCGCACCTTCCACACCATCGGCTTCTGCCCCTACGGCCCGCGCTGCCACTTCATCCACAACGCCGACGAGCGCCGCCCGGCGCCCGGCGGGGGCACGGCCGCCCCCCCGCCCGCCGCCGCGGCCGGGCCGCACCATCACCCGCACCACCCACCCCCGCACCCCGCCGGCAGCACCGGCGACCTCCGCGCCTTCGCCCCCCGCGACCACCCGCTGGGCGGCGGCGGCTTCGGGCACCCGCGCGGCGGCGGCGAGCGGCCCAAGCTGCACCACAGCCTGAGCTTCTCCGGCTTCTCCGCCCACCACCACCACCACCACCCCCCGCACCCCCACGGCGCCCCCCCGCCGCCGCCGCCACCCGGCGGCCGCCTGGACGCCGCCCTGCTGGAGAGCCCCGGCGGGTCGCGCACGCCGCCGCCGCCCGCCTCCGCCTCCTACTGCGAGGAGCTGCTCTCGCCGCCATGCGCCAACAACGCCTTCGCCTTCTCGGGGCAGGAGCTGGGCAGCCTCATCGCTCCCCTCGCCCTGCACACCCAGAACTTCGCCGCTGCCGCCGCCGCGGCCGCCGCTGCCGCCGCCTACTACCGCTGCCAGCAGCAGCCGCCGCCGCCCGGCGGGGGCTGCCCGCCGCCCCCCGCCTCGCCGCCCTTCAGCTTCCAGCCCCTCCGCCGCCTCTCCGAGTCGCCCGTCTTCGACGCGCCGCCCAGCCCGCCGGACTCGCTCTCCGATCGGGAGAGCTACCTGAGCGGCTCCCTCAGCTCCGGCTCCCTCAGCGGCTCCGAGTCACCCAGCCTGGACTCGGGCCGCCGCCTGCCCATCTTCAGCCGCCTCTCCATCTCCGACGATTGAGGGGGACGGGGGACCGGCCGGGGGGGCCCCGCGGCGGCCCTGCAAGTAAGTGACCGAAGAAAGCGAAACCTCTCCTTCTTCTCTATTTTTTGGTGGTTTTTTTTTTATATGTATCTGTCTATCTACACCGAGAGCTGAACAAAACGAGAAACAAAGCATTTTGCAAAAGGGCAAATGACACGAACTGAACAAACCTATTTTTATAGAGAGACCTTGGAAGAAGGGGATTTTTGTTTCGGGGTTTTTTTTGTTGTTCTTTGGAGACAAGTTATGATACGCACCAGCAGCAGCCATTCCATCTGTGTTCAAAAAAAAAACCAACAAACTAGCATTAGAAAAGACACCACCAGAAAGCAACAAACAATCTGGGGAGCGCCGGTTCTGCCTGCCCAGCTCCTCCAAACCTGCAGACACACAGAAAAAGAAGTTACAAACTAGTTTGTGTTTCAATCCAGTTCAAATAAAAACACAGAACATACTAAACCTATAAGCTTTTTTTTTTTAGGAAAAAAAAGAATCCAACATCCTGCCAAGAATATGCCTTGATAACAACCTTTTTTATATATCTATATATTATTATTATAACAAATGCTAAAACCTTCATTCCAAAGTTTAATATTGGTTCCATTGCCACCACTTAGTGGATGTTTGGCTTAGAACAATTTTTTGTTGTTGCTTTATTTGGAAGCACTCAACTGAGTTTAGTTTGTAATTGTTGGAGAATAACTGCTGATTTTTTTTAAATTTTTTTTTAGCTGTTTGAGTTGATTGCATGAATGAGTTCACTGCACACAACTCAATATGAAATTATTTAACTTATTTATTATCTTGTGAAAAGTATACATTGGTAATTTGTTCATACTGTATTTATCGGGTATGATGAAAAGCAATAGATATATATTCTTTTATTATGTTTAAATTATGATTTTCATTATTAATCGGCGAAATGTGGAGTGTGTTCTTTTCACAGTAATATATGCCTTTTTGTAACTTCACTTGGTTATTTTATTGTAAATGAGTAAAATTCTTAATTTAAGAGATTGTATGTAATATTTATTTCATTAATTTCTTTCCTTGTTTACGTAAATCTGAAAGATTGCATGGTTTCTTTATAGAAATCGGTCTCGATGCTGTGGAAGTAGTTTGAGGAATTTCTATGGGTTTTTTAGAATGTAAATGGTTGTAGCCCGTCCGAGTTGAAAACAAACTAGAGAAGAAAAAAAAAAGAGCAGAAAAAAAGACTGCCTGAGCAATCAGACTTCAAAGTGGCAAATCTAATTCAGACTTGTTTAAAATAACCAAAAAGTATTTTTGTTGCCTAACTCCACCAATCACACTGTGATATAGTCTCAAAGTATGTAGCAATAATTGGGGGTCCCAGTATTATGTCTCACAGTGCCTTTTTGAGGGTCCATGCTTGCCTTAAATATTTCTCAACCAAATAAGTATTTTTCTTAATGCTTGAGGTAATTTGAATGTAGGGATGGGTTTTAACTACAGCAAAATTTCGCCACTCTATTTTATAAGAATGGAGGCCATCTTTGGATCTGAAACTTTATACAGTACATGAACATATCTTGTTTAATTGAATTCCAAAACTTGTAATTTTTTTTTTTTCCTAATGTAGAAAGTTGGGAGTTTTCCAAAACTTTCCTGGACGGTGGATGAATGAGCAGT